ACAGGAGTGGATGGGACAGGACAGAGACAGGTAGATGGACAGATGGATGGACAGGTGGACACCTGTGAAGATGGATGGATGGGTGATGGATGGACAGGAAGATGGGGAAGGAGGGGGAACAGCAGCATGAAAACCCACCTGCTCCCCCAACACCACCCACACCTCATCCTCCCTCTCTCCCCAGGACCCGGCCCCAGAAGGATGAAGCCCATCATCTCCAGGTCCCACTTCAGCCCACCCAGCCCAGCAGCACCAGGGGGTCCTACTAGTGCTGACCACTCTGGGGGACCCCCAAACCCCACCCAGATCTCAACATACCCACGGGATGAAGGAACAGGAGTGGGGTTGGGTGGGTACAAAGGGCCAACGATGACCATGACCACCCTCTTACATGGCCAAGGAGAGGACCCAAGCTCTAGGAGGACCCATCCAGGGTTGGGGGATGGTGTCTCCTCAACCCGCCGCTTCGCTGGATGTTTTCTTCTGTGCTGGAATAAAACCAATAAAAGCAAAAACCGTGTGAACCGCGGCCGGTGGGAGGGTGAGGAGCTCGGTGGTGGGGGTTGTTTTCCCACGACGGCAGGAGGTCCTGCACAGCTTGGCCGTCCCACCCCAAAGGCAAATACGGGACCCAGTGGGGTGTTGTGGCCTCAGCATCGTGTCCCCTCCTCCACCATCTGTCCCCTCAGCCTGTGCCGGGGCGGCGAGGGAGGGAGAGTCACGTTCAAGAGAGGAAGGAGGACCCAGGTCTCCTGAGGATCCAGGGAACATGAGGACACGTGTGTCCAGGTGCCCTAGACATCCCAAAGATCCAGGGATCCTGAGGACCCACGTGTCTGGATGTCCAAGGATCCCAAAGACCCATGTGTCTGGGTGCTCAGACATACTGAGGACCCAAAGATCCTGAGGACCCAGGTGTCCAGATGCCCAAGGACCCAAAGATCCCGAGAACCCAGGTCTCCAGGTGTCCAAGGATCCAAAGATCCCGAGAACCCAGGTCTCCAGGTGTCCAAGGATCCAAAGATCCTGAGAACCCAGGTCTCCAGGTGTCCAAGGATCCAAAGATCCTGAGAACCCAGGTCTCCCAGTGCCCAAGGATCCCAAAGATCCCGAGGATCTAGGTCTCCAGGTGCCCAGATGTCCCAAGGACCCAGAGATCCAGGTGCCCCAATGTTCCAAGGACCCCAAGGACCCAGAGATCCAGGTGCCCCAATGTCCCAAGGACCCCAAGGACCCAGAGATCCTGAGAACCCAGGTCTCCAGGTGCCCCAATGTCTCAAGGACCCAAGAACCCCAAGGACCCAGAGATCCAGGTGCCCAGATGTCCCAAGGACCCAAGAACTCCAAGGACCCAGAGATCCAGGTGCCGCAATGTCCCAGGGACCCCAAGGACCCAGAGATCCAGGTGCCCAGATGTCCCACAGACTCAGGGATCCCAGGAACCCAGGTGTCCGAGTGCCCAAACATCCCAAGGACCCACTGATCCCAAAGATCTAAGCGTTGGGCCACCCAGGAACCCACCACCCTCTCCTCTCCAACCACCCAGCCAGTGCGGACCCAGGTATCCTGCCCCCCAAGTCACCCCCCAAGTCCCCTGGTCCCTGCCCCTTCCTGCCTACGCTCTGCTGCCTCCCGCTGCCCTCCTGCCCGCGGTCCAAGGGGCTCCCGGGGATCCGGTTCAGGGCCCCCAAGGACTTTGTCCCATCAATCATCCACCATGGATGGTGAAAACAAACCAGTGGGGGTTGGGGAGGGTCTCCATCCACTTAGGGTCAGGGGCTTCCTCAGAGAGGAAGAGGATGAAGAGGATGGGATGGCACCAGGGAGTTGTTGGACATCCCTGGTTGGGGACCGGTGTGACCAGCGCCGGTATTTCCGCTGGATGATCTTCTCCTCTGACCCACAGCAGGATCTGGTTCCACCAGAGTCAAACGTTAACCGGGCCCAGGGGGTGGCTTTAAATAGGAGCAGGGACGGGGACAGGGCTGTGGCCATGGGCAGCCGTGGGGCTGGGGGGTGCTGAGGGCCCCACAGACGGTGCTGGGGAGCAGGATCTGGTGCTGGGAGAGGTTGGGTGAGAGGTGGAACGACGGAGAGGTGAGTGGATCGGTAGAGAGATCAATGAGCTGATCAGGAGAGAGGTCAATGGGCTGGTCAGGAGAGGGAGTGAAGCTCAAGAGATAGTGATCAATAGAAACTGATCAGTAGAAAGATGATAGGTCAGGAGATTGAGATTAAAGCTCAACAGATGGATCAATAAAGACTGATCAATAGAAATATTACAGGTCAGGAGATTGAGATTAAAGCTCAACAGATGGATCAATAAAGACTGATCAATAGAAATATTACAGGTCAGGAGATTGAGATTAAAGCTCAACAGATGGATCAATAAAGACTGATCAATAGAAATATTACAGGTCAGGAGATTGAGATTAAAGCTCAATAGATGGATCAATAGAGAGAAAGACTGATCAATGGAAAGATTATCAATCCAGAGATTGATCAAGAGAGGGATTAAGATGGATACAATGATCAATAGAAAGATTATAGGTCAAGAGATTGAGATTAAATCTCAACAGATGGATCAATAGAGAGCAAGACTGATCAATTGAAAGATTATAGGTCAGGAGATTGAGATTAAAGCTCAATAGATGGATCAATAGAGAGAAAGACTGATCAATGGAAAGATTATCAATCCAGAGATTGATCAAGAGAGGGATTAAGATGGATACAATGATCAATAGAAAGATTATAGGTCAGGAGATTGAGATTAAAGCTCAACAGATGGATCAATAGAGAGCAAGACTGATCAATAGAAAGATTATAGGTCAGGAGATTGATCAAGAGAGAGATTCAAGTGGATACATTGATCAATAGAGAGATTAAGATGATACACTGATCAATAGAAAGATTACAGGTCAACAGATTGAGATGAAAGCTCAACAGATTGATCAATAAAGACTGATCAGTGGCAAGATTATGGGTTAATAGATTGATCAATAGATTAAGATGGATACATTGATCAACAGAAAAATCATACATCAACAGGTTGATCAATAGTGAGACTTAAGATCAGTAGCAAGATTTCAGATCAATAGATTGATCAATTGAGACCGATAGGCCAGTCAATAGACAGATTAAGATGATTATATTGATCAATGGAGAGATTATAGGTCGATTGATCAACAGGGACATTAAAGCACAATAGATTGATCAAGAGAGACCGATAGATAGTCAATAGATAAAGATCACTATATTGATCAATAGATTATTGTTGATCAATAGAGAGAGACCAATAGATCAAGCAATAGAGAGATTCAAGGTCAATCAATCAATCAATAGAAATATTCTAGGCCAATAGACTGGTCAATAGAGAGATTGATACATTGATCAATAGATTATAAATAAATTGATGGATAGACATTGGTCTATCAATCGGTCAATAGATGATCTATAGATCAATTAATAGATCATTAGAGTGATCGGTGGATCGTGGTTCAATAGATTAGTCAGTAGAAAAATACAGACCAATAGATTGATCAATGAATGGATTGCAGATCAATTCATTGGTCAGATAAATCCATATAGATCAATAGAGATGCTGGAGAATAGACTGATCAATAGATCGATCAACAGAAATCTATAGATCAATAAATTAAGAGATAAAGAGAGAGATTCTGGATTAATTGATGACCAATATGTTATCGATAATAGAGATCGAAAGATCAATACTTTATTAATAAAGATCTCGCTGGATTGATCGACAGAGTCCAGTAGAGCGATCAATAGAGAGGAGGAGATCAATAGCCTGATCAATAGACCTATAGATTGATTGATAAATCGATTGATTGATTGATAGGGAGAGGAGTCAATAGCCGGGCAGAGGTCCAAGGCGGGGGTGGATCCACCAGCTGGACGACGGTCGGCACGGACAATAGAGTGATCCATTGATTGATTGATGATTGATGATTGATCGAAGGGTGAAGGAGGCGGGAGGAAGAGAGAGGGGGAGGGGCAGAGGGAGGGACAGAGGGACGGACGGACGCAGGGACAGCGGGTGGCCAGACAGACGGAGCCGGAGCCGGAGAGAGAGGGAGGGAGAGGAGAGGAGAGAGGAGAGCAGGAGCAGGTAGGGATCGATTGATCACCTGGGATCACCGGAGGGAAGATCCTATAGGATCGATTGATTGATTGATTGATTGATAATGCAACAGGGAGGGGGGAGGAGGAGGAGGGGGAGCAGCGAGGGGGGAGCTGAGGGCAAGACATAAATAATTGGTGATTGATAGGGCAATAAAACCGCGATCGATAGGCTGATAGGTAGATTGATCGATCAGATTGGTAGATTGATTGATCAGATTGGTAGATTGATCGGTCAGATTGGTAGATTGATTGATCAGATTGGTAGATTGATCGGTCAGATTGGTAGATTGATTGATCAGATTGGTAGATTGATCGGTCAGATTGGTAGATTGATTGATCAGATTGGTAGATTGATCGGTCAGATTGGTAGATTGATTGATCAGATTGGTAGATTGATCGGTCAGATTGGTAGATTGATTGATCAGATTGGTAGATTGATCGGTCAGATTGGTAGATTGATTGATCAGATTGGTAGATTGATCGGTCAGATTGGTAGATTGATTGATCAGATTGGTAGATTGATCGGTCAGATTGGTAGATTGATTGATCAGATTGGTAGATTGATCGGTCAGATTGGTAGATTGATTGATCAGATTGGTAGATTGATCGGTCAGATTGGTAGATTGATTGATCAGATTGGTAGATTGATCGGTCAGATTGGTAGATTGATTGATCAGATTGGTAGATTGATCGGTCAGATTGGTAGATTGATTGATCAGATTGGTAGATTGATCGGTCAGATTGGTAGATTGATTGATCAGATTGGTAGATTGATCGGTCAGATTGGTAGATTGATTGATCAGATTGGTAGATTGATCGGTCAGATTGGTAGATTGATTGATCAGATTGGTAGATTGATCGGTCAGATTGGTAGATTGATTGATCAGATTGGTAGATTGATCGGTCAGATTGGTAGATTGATTGATCAGATTGGTAGATTGATCGGTCAGATTGGTAGATTGATTGATCAGATTGGTAGATTGATAGACAGATGGATCAATAGATACCCCAAGAGACCAATAAATTGATCGTGGCACTGATCGACTGCTAGATCGATGGATCAATAGACTCCCCAAGAGATCAAAAGAGATCAATAAATCTATAACAACACTGATAGATCGATAGAGTGATTGATAGACTGATTGATCGATCGATAGACTGATCGATCGATAGACTGATTGATCGATCGATAGACTGATCAATCAATCGATAGAGGCCCTGACAGATCAACAGCACAAGCACTAGGTCAGCAGAAGGACTGATCGATCGGTAGGTCGATGGTCTGATCGACAGGTGGACTGATCGATCGATAGATTGATACAGAGCTGATCGATAGGTTGATCAATCGATTGACAGATGATCAATGGAAGGTCCTTGATTCCTTCCTCAAGATGTTCCTCAGTCCCCGCCTTGATCCCTTGGTCCATCCCTTGGCTCACCCATTGGTCCACCTCTTGGTCCATCCCTTGGTCC